TACACTAATGTTTTTTTTACACAGCATGGCTGTCGGCATGTCAGGCTCTGTCGATCATTTCATTAATAATAATGATAGGCGGAGCTGTATGTGTCACGATCTCCTGGTTTATTAGGCCTAAAGACCTGAAAAGGAGGCTATCTACCGGTGGTGGCGCCTTAGTTATTTGCTCAGGTATGTTTCGACACATTTTTATTGGGACAAAGGGTAATTTAATATTCAGCACAGTTTTATTTGGAACATTTTTTGTTCGAGTAAATAGTGGTGGCGCCCCGTCGGGGTATCTTGCACTATCTGTCTGGGAACATCTCGTCGGCAAATCATAGCACTGCCACCAGACTTGACATTTACATTGCTTAATAAGATACAGTAGTTACTTGCACTGTGCACTGCATTGTATTATTTGAAATGTCATGACGTTCTATTTTAATTTAAATGAATGAAATCAAGCGCAGTCGATCTATTTATGTCACGGACGCCGTGACATAAATAAATAATTCATGAGCGTGAAAAAAACGTTTTAAATTCTTTTAAGTTTGTTTTCTTATTGTTTTCACAGCTATCATACTCTTTATCGTGTTGATTGTCTTCCCCTCCTCGATTGTTGACGCAGATGTGTATAGGTACCGTGTGAAATGGGAGTTCAGCTGGGGGTTCGGCCTCAGTTGGGGCGTCTTTCTCTTTCAAGTTGTTATTGGGCTTATTTTACTTTGTGCACCAGAAACTAAAGAAATTTATTTTGACGAGAGAGTAATATAACCTCATGATGTACTTTTCGCCATCTTGACATCACATATTTCTGACGTGACATTAGTTATGATGTAAGAACGTATTTACATTTAAAAAAAAGTCTTCTCTTCAGTTTTGCAGGAATAAAAAAAATACCTTTATTGACGTCATAAATTGTGTTTTGTAATTTATGAGTTACTTTGTGACAGAATCTAACGGTTTAATTATGCTTCTTTTTAACCTAAGACGTAAAAATACCATGCCTTGGTATTCAAGACAATTTTGAAAAATAGTAAAAAGTATCTTGTTATATATTTTCTTATTAATTCAGTTGTTAAATTGATAAGTTGATATCATAAAATTATTCGGATGAATCCGAAAAAAAATAATGCAAGTTTATTATATAGATATTATTTAATACAATAAGGTGCTTATTGGAAGTCGAATCTGCTTTTGTTATACAATTGTATGTTTTGTTTTGATAATGAAAACAACATTTGTCAGTGTTTGTTTATACGTAAACAATAGGCGCACCGTAAACTTCTAATAATAACCCTGGTTTACTATTCTTTGATTGTTTTAAGGGTGGGTTGGTTACTATATAGTATTACTAATTTTATGCACTTGAAAATAGTGAGCTACGCCCGGGTTATCGCGTCAGTAATTCATAGATAGATTTAATTTCTTTTAACTCCACTCCGAAATTGTCAAGCATACCGTACATTACCGGTATGGAATAAATGGTGTTCTTCTCCAATCACCTTGTCAGATTCTGACGTTGGCAATCATATCTTTGAACACGTCTCTCTATTTTGACGGCATGAAAGAGATCTATTCCCATGCCCGATTGACTGTATTAAGTCATCTAACTCTTCCCCGTTGCCTTCCCCTTGTTAAAGCGACAATAACGTTGATTTGAATGTCATTTATACCGCCCAGGTCATTTTATTTATAATTTTGGTGACTAATAGTAACCCGATGGTTTGTTATTAGGGTAGTGGGTTATTATTATATATTAACTTCTAGGGTGGGTTACTATTAGAGTAGGCCTAATTGGTTATTATTAGAAGTTTTATGTTACCGTATGCGTATTGCCTGTGATGGAATTTCAAACGTATTGCGTTCTATTTAATTACAGAGGGCGCACTACAAATTTACGAAAACCTCTAAAAAAGAATTTGTACGCCCTCCAATCCCTCTGAAAATATGGTTTGGTCTCGAGGTTCGGTTCCAAATTAGAAAATTAAGTTTGTGTTAAAAGATTGAAGATTGCTATAATTAGTACTTAAAAATAGTGGCCTCGAGTTGGAGGGTGATTATGAGAGTATGTACCAAAGAAATATTCAGAAATACTGTAATATGAAAACGCTTTAATGTATATTTTAAGCACTTGTATCTCTAGACGTTTAGGCCTACTGTATAATTTTAAAACAAAATTTATTGACAAAAAAGGAGATCGACGTTTCGAGTCCATCATGGACACATTCTCAAGATCAAGTGAACAACGATATACAAAAGTAGACAAACCTAAGAAGGCAACATGGATGGACTCGAAACATCGATCATGTTTTTTGTCAATACATTTTGTTTTAAAATTGTATCTCTATTGTATATATTTATAATATTTATTTGTTGTAACTGTAGTCTTTAAGAATGCTAATGTAATTATACAAAGTCTATTGTAGAAGACGAGCCACTAAAAGCGATGTTGCTCCGAGAACAAATAATTTATGTATAAGTACCGGTACGTACATTAATATATGTATTTTGTGGCTATATTTATATTGGAGATTGAAATACTCAATTTTTAAAATTAATGAACTACTCAGAGAAATAAAAAAAATGAAAAGCATAAGCAATGACATCGATAATACCATCGCATTCGCCAACCACACCACCATTGCAACTCTATCATCACCCAACTTACACTGTATTACCACAACTACCACCACCTCCACATGATCACATCGGTCACCAAACTTTATTAACGCGTTGCCAAAGTGTTGAATGACTAGGCTTTTATTTTATGTAGATTTTCATGAATTTTTAAAATGTTTGGACAGTTAAAGTTATCTTTATTTATATAATGTTTCCGATTATGTATTCGATTTAATCATATTTAAAATCTCTTTAAAAAAAATTCAATTCAAGCAAGGAATTACTCATATCAGCATACAATGATAACCAAAGCAAAACAATTTATAGTTTTAAATGATTTTAAATGTTTTCACTACAAAATTTGACACGCTGTGGTAATCAGAAGTTATGCAGGTTGTTGTACAGTGTGTTGTACAATCGACGTGTACCCTTTGTTATGCGTTACCGCTCATTTGTTTTGTATACTTCATAATATTGAATACCCACCAATGTCTGTCAGTAGTACAGTAGTCCACTGCATGTCTGTGATCTCACTACATTTAATATGGTAGCAAAATCTGAAAATGGCTGGCATTGATTTAATTTGATTAATTGGTTCCTGTCTCTTATACACATCTAGATGTGTATAAGAGACAGGGGTAAGGCCCATCCGTGGTGGTGGGGGGATTTTCTCCTCTGAGTCCGTAGCCGGTTGTCCCGCTGCAGGGAACACTGGGCCGCGGGTTCCAGGGCCACCTAAAACCCCTGAACCAACTTTTTTGTTATGGGTACTAAGTAGTGATATAGAAGCAATTAAAATTGATGAGGAATCACTACGGCCTTGCTAAGATCTTGTTCTTTATTTATTTTATTTTTTTCTGTTTTCTATCGAATCTGTGTGTGTGTTTTTTTTTTTTTTAGGTAAGTTATTCTTGTTCTTTTTATTGCCTATCATTGTAAGTACATCTTAATAAATTAAATTAAAAAACAACTTATTGAAATTAATTATATAATTTTAATTATCTAACTACTGTATGTATACAGTTTGCTGATACGCCTCCACCATACCTCGTATTTATCTCTTGATAGATAATACAGTATTCTTGAAACGGAAGTACTTGATGACCTTTAATTTTACAGGGTACGCCTTTAAAATGCCAGGTCACTCGCGAAAAGCCTATGCAAATTTAGTGCTGTCTCATCATGCATGCGCACCCGCCGGTTATACCTATTTTATACTGCATGAGGAAGTAAAGCTGACGGGTTATATTTATCTGCTCCGCTACCACAGCACCCTTTCCATTTTTAACTCTATACAGGCCAAACAACTAACACAATGGCTGAGTAAGTTGTAGATGTACTTATTTTTAATACATTAATTATCATCGTCAGCTACGATCGCTAGGCTTGGCCTACTACTAGTACACCACTAGCCATCTAGGGCCTAGGCTAGGGGCCGAGGCCTAGTACGACTAGGGCAAGCGTGTGTAACCTACAGGACAGCTCACTCTCGCAGCCTACCTAGAGCATAGAGTTATTATCTTGCTAGGAAGGAGAGGCCTATTATTAATATTATTAGATTAATAATTTAAATGACACAACAGGACCCTGAAAAAATCTACTGTAATTGTGTTGAAATCACAGTTGTAAATAATTGTTTATGATGACTGAACTGAATAATAAATCAGTCTCCAGCAACAAGAGCCATTATTTCCATTTTTTCTGTTGAGATACATCTTTTAGATACAGAATGGTGGTCAACCTTAAAAATGAATGGATACCCCAACCCAAGCCCCAGGATCAAGATGTGGAATTAGCTTTTTTTTGTTGGGATGTTCGGACTTGTTAAAAAACAAAAACAAAAAAAAACCTACTTTATTACAAATTTAAACGATATTCGAAATGTACAAACAAATTTCAAGTAATAATATTAAAAAATGTTCCTAACTCCCTTTTTTTTTTACATCCTGTGTATGTCACTTGATTACTATGCAAACCTACTGTATTGTCATTAGATTTATTTATTACTTCCTCCAACCTTTTATTAATTTAAAGAAGACAAGTAAAAGAATTTCGTAAAATGTCCATAGGCCTCTGTCTCAATCAAGGCTAGTGTTTAAAGTACAGTTCGTGATTTATACTTAATTTAACTGCATACTTTCTGTTGCAAACTTTAAGTAACAATACAGAAAACTTCAGACTGAAACAGGTTATTATTTTCTGGCAATGACTTTGTATTTTGAGAACCAGGATATAAAAATCAAGGGCGTTGGTTCAAAGGTTAAAACACTTTTTTTTTTTTACAATAAAGACTTCCTCCAGTCCCGGAAGGCTCAATTCAATGAAACAAATTTATTTGTTTAAAGCTTTTTTTTCATATTTCTTTTTTTTTTTTCACTAATCAGCTTCACTTGTTAATTTAAGAGATAGAAACTCCCTAACAACAACCCATAATTAATTCCTGGTCAACCTTGGAAACCATTCAGAGGGATTAAATGTGCAATAAATTTATGTCCAATAATTATTAAAGTAAAACAATTTTAAGTGTTAATTAGGGTTAAGTAGTTAAGTGTTAGGTTCTGTTGGGTGCAAGGTGGCAGTATTATTTCTTTATATAAAGCCTATCTTTGGTAAAATCTCTTTAAAAAAAATTCAATTCAAGCAAGGAATTACTCATATCAGCATACAATGATAACCAAAGCAAAACAATTTATAGTTTTAAATGATTTTAAATGTTTTCACTACAAAATTTGACACGCTGTGGTAATCAGAAGTTATGCAGGTTGTTGTACAGTGTGTTGTACAATCGACGTGTACCCTTTGTTATGCGTTACCGCTCATTTGTTTTGTATACTTCATAATATTGAATACCCACCAATGTCTGTCAGTAGTACAGTAGTCCACTGCATGTCTGTGATCTCACTACATTTAATATGGTAGCAAAATCTGAAAATGGCTGGCATTGATTTAATTTGATTAATTGGTTCCACAAAACATTACATAAAAATATGAGCAACAGTAAACTAAAGACACAATTATGAAAATGTATAAGCGCATTGTACTGCTGACTGACAAATAAATTCCTCTCCACCTCGTCTGTAAAACAGATTATTATCCAACCAAGCAAATTGGCTTTATAATTATAACTATAAAGCCAATGAAGGTTAGAATCTGACTAATACTAGTATAAAGAATAGCTAAAGAATACTAAAGGTCCCAAACAAATTGTTGTGCTTAAGAAGTGATATTTTGAAGTCAGACTCAGTCCTAGACTGTATTTTATTTTTAGTACAGTATGTGCAGACACATATTTTTACGGTTTATTTCCTACATCACTCAGCATTTGCCATTATGTATTTTTTGCAGGTAAAATAACCACAGCTGAATGTGAACATTTGTGATGTGGCTTAGATATACTGTAATCCATTATTTATTGAAGATGTTTTTTGCCCCCTGAAAATGGCAAAAAAAAAATCATAAAAAGTAATTTTGAAATTAACTTGCTCATTTTGTAGTTACATACAAATTATTTAGTTTGGCATAGAATTTACTGAATTTAAAAAGTGTGTACTCTGAGTTTTAATAATAAAATAATAATAGTGTAGTTTTATATAGCGCACAAATCCATCTAATGTAAGATGCTCAGGGCGCTTGAAATGTGGACTAGTGACTCGATCAATGACTTTCTTTGCCCCTAATGGTCCCTTCGTGTCTGTGCTACCCGGTAACCCGGTACCAGCAACTCTCGTCGTCCACCACAGGGGCTGTCTGTTCCAGTACACCGGGGTATCCCCCTACTCGTCTCGAAGGATGTACAGGGTTCTTTATAGTGCACACGAGCCGTTGTATACACTGGGCCTACGGTTTATAGTCCTTATCCGAGAAGACTTGTTCTACCACCAGAACCATAGGCGAGCGTGCCGTTCGAACCAGCGCCGATATTATGGCTATAGCTTGCGGCGCCCCTGCTAACCGCTCGGCCATTCGACTTACAGTACTTGATCAAAGTATTAAAAGCACTTCCAGTTGTCTGAAAGTGTTTTATCATTTTTTGCTGTAAAATTATGGGTTAACGTTTTTTTAACACTAATTTCTATGTTCAAGTTGATAATTTTTATTTTGAGCAGGTTAATTTCAAATGTGATTTGTATGATCATTTTTACATCTTTGAATCTTAGAGCCAGGATCCAGGGAAAAAAATCACCCTTTCGATTCAGATTCAGTTTTCTTTAATAAGTTCAACTGGCAGTAAAATACTGAATTGCGAGAAGTTTACAATATATACAGATAAAATTATTATCCTAAAATACAGAAGAGAAAAAATTGAACAACACACACCACAAAATAAAATAAAAAAATTTGTTATGTCTTAGCGAAAATAGTTGATACAGCATATCAAACAAAATTTTTCCTATGAAGCCTGGCTTTAATATCAGTGAAATCTTATTTAATTAGAATGCTATGGTTAAGTATGGCGAGCTACACGGCTATTCTATAGTCTCCCTCATTATTAAATCATTGCTAAGTGTTAGTAAATTGAATTTCAGTGTTGCAGCTTTGTTTGTATTCCAAATGATGTTCAATACTCAATGAATTCTGTCCATTCATTCCGTCAGTAATAAACTCTCTGATGAAAAGCTTAGAATGCTTTGCAAGCATGTATTTTTTCTTTAATTGCTGTTATTTTTTTAAATATTAAATTCAATTATTTTAATAATTGTTTGAATTCTATTTTTATTTATTTTTTTATTACCAACTACAGTAATAGTAGATAAATACCCAATTAATTATACAGTACGTTGACATCAAATAAGCGGAGAGGTTTTCACAGCATGCAACCATTATTATTATTAAATACACTATATAGGTAACAGCGCAAAAATGATTAAATGTATTAAAGTAAAGGTAAATAAATCAACAAATAAAAATATAAATACATATTGCTAAACATCCCAATAATTTTCAACTTAAAAGGACTTAAAACTGCCCAAAAATGTCAATATCAGTATAAATATACTGAACTTATGTATCACATAAACGCATTGCGTTTTTATTGTTGTTAAATACTGTATTCTTGTTTGACATGCAATGTTTTTGCATCACATACCATCATATATAGAGTATTTTACACTAATAATTAAAAGCTAATTGATAAGTGTAATTAAAAACTTTCCATAGTACAGTACTGTACCATCGTGCCCATAAATTTGTAAAGTACTGTACAGTACAGCCCATAGTGTGGCTTCCATGCGTTTGTGTTTTATAATTAGCTGTACAAGACTCTGTTATTACATGGCTGTGTATCAAGTGTGCATTATAAAAATCAGCATTATAAACATCAGCAATGTACATGAGATGTTAATTGTTTTGTATGTGACTTGCTGAACATGTACAGTATAGCAAACCAAAGACAATGCATGGTATTAAGCAATCCTGTGGTATAAATTCAAATTTCAGATTTCTTTTATTTTTTATGTGAAAAAGGTCATTGTGAATCTTAAGCTAGTGGTAATATTATTTAGTAAATTGTCTTTATATCACAAATATTAAGAGTGGCTCTGCCCTTGGAGCCCCTCCAGTATGTTGTAGTGTTCACATGAATACAGGTCCAGTGTAAGATTTTTTTCAGGGTAAAATGTCAGTAAACAGAACAGTTTCACATGAGGTTTTTTTTTGTTTATTCAGTATGTACTAACTTTTTAAAATTAAGCTATTTTGATACTTTCATTTAATATTTTATTAATAAGAAAATTGATATTTTATACAGTATTAATTTATAATTAATTTCACATTTATTTATTCATTTATTTAATGTATTTATTTATAAAATTTATTTAAATATTGAGTAGCTTCATGTTTGTTTATTTTAAAGCTGTTTATTTCATTAATATATTTAAAAAACTTTTTATTCCTTCTAATTATATTTATTACAGAGCTGACATCGCACTGATAGGATTGGCCGTCATGGTAAGCATTTCTTCTTTTTCATGACTATTGAATAATTAGTCGCAACTTTGGCTGTTACCATTCTTGTTGACCTTTGTTTGATTACTTTTTATCTCGACAGGGTCAGAACCTTATTCTGAATATGAATGACCATGGCTTTGTGGTAAGATTTTATCATAATATTAAAATAAATAATTCTAAATATTATTATATTGACGATAAACGAAAGTTGATAATGATTATAATTATATAATAATAATGTTATTGAAAAAATGTCATGAATATAATAATTTTAATTAATTAATTTATAGGTATGTGCTTACAATCGCACCGTGTCAAAAGTTGATCACTTCCTTGAGAATGAAGCTAAAGGCACTAAGATCATTGGAGCTCGCTCACTCGAAGACATGGTAAAGAAACTGAAGAAGCCACGTCGGGTGATGATGCTGGTGAAGGCTGGATCAGCAGTAGATGCCTTCATTGATAAACTAGTGAGTTCTGTTATTTCTGACAAGTTATTGTATTAGTGATCAGATTCCTCATTAATGGGATATCTGCCATCACTTTATGCACTTACTATGAGCCGTGAATCGGTAATGCCAGTCATTGTCTTTGGCTGGTGAGAGCTGCCATCATTACTAACATTTCTAATGTGTCGTCCATCAGAGGTGCCAATTTTTTACTGGTGAGGTCTCTAATGGCTGCCCTCACTACTAACATTTCTAATGCGCCTTCCCTCAGAAGTGCCAATCAGAATCTCTTATTGCCATTCCGCAACCTATGGGTCGCGAAAAAAAAATTAATAGGTCGTATAATCGCTTTCTATAGTGAAAACTTTACTTAACACGAACAAAAACCAAACAAAATTGAATTACAGTGAAGGAGTGCAATTTAAGTGTGAAAAGTGCGTCAGGCAACTTTTGTTATGCGTGCGTGCGTTATCACAGTTTCAGGTTTAAAATATACTATCAAAACATTTGTACTTCAGGTGTGACAACTTTTAAAGTATCAGTTTTGTTCATTTCAATGTGTTATGCTTTCAGCTGCAAATTATAATTAGAAACATTTTTTCGCATAAATCTTTGGCAGCACTAGGAATTTATAATAAAATGTCTGTTAATCATTAATTTTTAAAAATGTTTAACTTATTGAAAAATTGTATCACTTACATGATTTTGTTAAATGAGTAATTCAAAGTTATATTTTCATTTTTGTGGGTTTTACATAGTGATTTTGTGGGTGATAATATCTTTTAATCTATTCACAGAAAGAATCAATTCACAAAAGAATCAAGTGGATGGTTCTTCTCGCTATCCCTCGCGCGTATAAAACGATGGACAATTGACTTCGGGTCCGATGGGTCGCGCCAGAGTGCGTGACATTATAATATGGGCCGTGGGCTAAAAAGGTTGTGGAACGGAGCTCTAATAGCTGATAAGAACTGCCATCACTTCTACCAGACTGCTGGGCTTCCATCATAATTTCCGATGCATATATGAGATCACTAATAAGCGTTGCCTTTAATCCTAGCATTATTAATTATGTATGCTATCACCATAAAATGTGGCAACTGATGAGTCTGAACTCTTTTGAATTTGTGAGACCTCCCACTGCTGGTGAGATTTGACATATATACGCTTGAACTTGCCTAAGTCGAATCCAGAATGGCATTGAAAAATTGTTCGACTTAGATAAAATTCAACTTACAGATTGTTAATTAATGGAAAACACAACAATTTGGCAATAAGATTGACTAGAAATTGGGCTTACGGTAATCAGTTTTGTTCTTTTTTTTATTTTACAAACACAAAATGTTTACTGGTTGGCTGCTTATTTTTACCGGTAAAATTGAAGTTAAAATGGCTTCACAAGGACACTCAACAGCACACAGTGTGCTGTCCAAAGAACGTAATTTTTTAAGAAAAAAATACATTAACATATTGTGGTTTCTTTTATAGGTTCCATTACTGGAGAAAGGGGACATCATCATTGATGGAGGTAATTCCGAATACACCGATTCAAGGGTAAGTGTATAGATATTTCTTGTGGATCCTTCATGTATTCAATACATCATAACTGGGTGATCTGAATAAAATACCAAATGTGTATTTTATGAAAGTGTAGAAACTATGATGATTATGTGATTCAATATATTGAAAATATATATATATATATATATTTTTTTTTTTATATTTTTTTTTTTATATTTTTTTTTTATATATATATATATATTTTTTATATATAAAAAATAACGGAAATAGAAGAGATTATGGGCTTGTTTGTTGTCTTTCAGCGACGGCATTTATCTCTCAAAGAAAAAGGTTTGTTATTTGTTGGTAGTGGAGTCAGTGGTGGGGAAGACGGTGCACGATACGGTCCATCACTTATGCCAGGCGGTGCACCAGAAGCATGGTAATTTGTGTTTATTTTCTCTGAATATAATTGATCTATGCAAAGAGTTATTTTCTGGATGAAATTAATAATATTAATGATAATGATAGTGCTAACAACAGCAACGATGACAGTGCAGACATCAGCATCGATAATGGTGTTGGGTGGTCATGTTGAAAAGAAATCTATGTTTGTCTTTATAAATTTAAATTGTCATAACCAGTCAAATCATATTCTGTTTATTCTTTTTGCTAGGCCTCACATCAAAGACATCTTTCAGGGCATTGCTGCTAAGGTAGACTCTGAGCCCTGCTGTGATTGGGTAAGTACTAATTCTATTGACTACGTTTTGGTTCCATTATGGTTGGCTTACAGTAAGGCAATTTTGACACATTGTGATGCACAAATAATAAGAAACTGATTTTTAGTATGAACCACATAAACACGTAACCTGGGCAGTAATTCACAAATGCAGCCGTTTATGCAAGCACTTCGGCAGCTAATATTTTTTGGCAACAGAGAAGAATATGACAATCATTATGGGCTTTCTGGTGGATAAAATTATTTTTAATTGTGGCAGAGACAAACCAAACCAGTCACTTGTCGGCAGAAATCGATTTTGAGTTATTAATTCAGGGTTAAAGAGTAATATAAGAGCTATAAAATGGTAAAAAAAATTCATTCAAATCCGACATTTCCTTATAAAGTATACAAGCGTTTAAACATATAGCTGTTTAAAGAACGATATATGAGAAATCAAATTTTATGATTTCTGGCATTTTTCATGCAGACACTATCATCATATCCTTAAAAAGTGTTGTTTTAACACTGAAAAATAACAGCATAGCATGATGTATAGATATGCAAAGGTTAGTTTAGTGCAATAAAAAAGATTTTTTTAAATTTGACATTCCAGCATGTTTTGGCCATTTTCTCTCAAATACGATTTGCAACGAGTGACTGGTGTGGCTTATCTTTGCCACGATTTCAATGGTGTTTTACATTCAGTTACTATATGAACATTGAACAAAAATTGATATAGGCTTTTCTAGACCTAGTACAATACAAAAAGAAATCAAACAAAATTTAAAAATCTGCCTTAGAGTAAAATATTTATTGTACAAGTACTTTCGACCATAAATCATTGTCAGATACTGAATAAAATATGGTAAGGAGAGCGCATAGAAAATTGGCAAATGGCAAATCAAAGCAAAGCAACAGCAATCAAAGAAGCCTAAGCAGCAGTACAATAGACAAAATAAATACTCTATTTAACATTTTTAAAGATTAAAAATATTTTTTTTTTTTGTCAATTTTAGGTCGGGGAGGATGGTGCTGGACATTTTGTAAAAATGGTGCACAACGGCATCGAATATGGTGACATGCAGCTTATCTGTGAAGCATACAGTCTCATGAAGGACGCACTTGGTATGTCATCGGATGAAATGAGCAAGGTATATTTTTGGATTGTCAAATAAAAATGACTTCTTTAATATGTATTCTATGATTTTAGGTTAAAATTATGTAAATCATAAGATTTTTCTCTCAAGTGAAAACGACTTCCCTCACTATATAGCCTTAGATGTGCTATAAAATATTTGGTTATTAAGAGACAACAATGTTTTGATATCAAATTTTGACTGCATAATTGTTTCAGACATATTTCTTATCAAACAAATTGTGCATTCTTTAATGTCTGTTATTAAATGGTGAATGCTCTACTTCCTCAGAAAAAGTCTGATTATACATCTGATAGACAAATTCTGATAACGCATACTTAATCCTCACAATCAGAAGTTAATTTCCATCATAACTAGTTAATTTTTTATTTTGTATGAAAATGTAATGGATTTTAAGAAATTATTATAAGAAAATGCTTTGAATTGATACATACATTGGACTTGTTTTTATTACAATATGTTAGCATTACCCTGGTAGTTAACAATGCTTCAGATTGTCTAGTGTTTATCTTAACAGGTTTTGGAAGAATGGAACAAAGGTGAGTTGGATTCCTTCCTCGTTGAGATTACAAAGGACATATTGGCCTTCAAGGATGAGAAGGGTGACTACCTGGTGGAAAAGATCAAAGACTCAGCTGGACAGGTAAATCTTGTTTTATCCAGATTTATTTGTGTATACAATTATATTCATATACTAATAAGAATTTAAATGGATTTTCAGTTACATTTTCTTCCCTTAATCATCGACCAGTCAGTTGTTACAATGTTCAGTTTCAATACCTGCTTTGCTGGAATTTTTAATTCCTCCATGATCAAACACACATATTATGATGATTATTATTATTTGATAGTATACTCTACTCTCTTTTATTATATTTCTTATATTATATATTTGTGTTATTGTAGAAAGGAACTGGTAAATGGACAGCAATCTCTGCCCTAGAGTATGGCATGCCTGTCACCCTCATTGGTGAGTAACAGGAGTAGTAGTAGTTTTTGTAGCAGTGTCATTAGCATATGTACCTTAAATAATTGAGGTTAAACTGCAAATTGTTCAGTATTCTAATTTGTTTCAAATTTGTTATGTTGTTTTAGCTGTCAAATTATTTGCTTGTTACAGGTGAGGCTGTTTTTGCTCGTTGTCTGTCGTCGCTTAAGGATGAACGAGTGTTGGCAAGTTCTGAGCTGTCTGGTCCAGAAAAGACTAAATACGAGGGCGACAAACAGCAGTTTATAGAGGATATTCGTCAGGTTAGAGGGAGTGTCTTAGGCGAGACTTTTTTTATACCTTGTTTAGCCAACCCTCCGACTGCAAATATTGATGATTTTGAATAAAAATTAAATTAAATTTTTGGCCAATTAACGCATCCGCTGCCACGAAAAATTGGAAATTTTTTTTTTTTTTTCTTTTTTACGCCCTCTGCTGCCTTAAAATCTCCAAAGATAAGATATATATATTTCTTCTCAATTATATAAATTTAAAGCATTTAATCATCCTATTGTACATTCACCAATAAAATTTTATTTTTATTTTCTATTCCGCCCTCCTCTGATAATCTTTAAAAAAATATGTACGCGAAACAAGGAATACAAAAATTCTCGCCTTATCTTAAATATCTGTAGTTGCTATGTCCTATCAAACGTAATCATTAAAACAGTCAATGCCTGAATGTAGTCTTATTGTAGAAAATATATTACATATAAATATATTTTAACTACTGTATTCATTGAGGGTCTGTAGCTTAGCACAGCATGTGACCACTATTCACATCTGCATGTGCTCAACATAAATTTTAATTGAATGAGTAAATAAAAATAAAATACAGCACTCTAAACTATTTTATTGGTTTTTTTTCTAGGCCCTGTATGCTTCCAAGATAGTCTCATATGCACAAGGTTTCATGTTAATGAGAGAGGCAGCAAAGGAATTCGGCTGGCATCTTAACTACGGCGGTATTGCCCTCATGTGGCGTGGAGGCTGTATCATCCGAAGGTCAATTGATTTCCATTTTACACGATTATTTTTAAAAAAAATTGAATTCTAAATCAAAAACTGCTCCAGTTGTATCTGTACAACTGATTTTTCTAAGACACAAAAAAGAATGAGATACAGATCTTTGAATATTTAAAAAAGGGGGTGAAGAAAAAGGTTTAAAAGAAAGGGCAGTTACACCCTGTTTTTCCCAGTTTGTAAATATTCAAAAATCTGTATCGCATTCACCGTTCCCCAGTTTATTATATTTATTATTGAAATTATTAATTTAATAATATGGCCACCTGAATAAAGAGCAAATGGAAAAAAGAGGATAAACAGAAAGATCACAATAAATCATTACTACATACTACTTACCAAGTATTATTAATAATTAATAAGTAATATCTTTTCAATTTTGTTTTATAGATGAATTTTTGAACTTTTTTTTAATTTGTGTTTTTCATTAGGTTAGCGGTTTAGAGAGAATTCACTCTGGTGTCGGGCTTTAGTTAGCCCATTATTCTCTTGGCATGCCACTAACCTGTCTTTTTTTTTGTACTTCATTTTTAATGTGTTTTTTTTTTGTATATATGAATATGCCAAATTTATGGTAAATAGAATAAATAAATATTAATTCAAAATAAATGTATGTAAATTATTATAAAGCAGATAAGAAAATTTAAATATACACTACAATATACATTTTAAGAAATTATGCTTCAACATGACATAATATGTGTGTGTGTTTATATTTTATATCATTATATATCAATCCCTCGCTGTCTATTTCACTTATGTCCTTAGACAAGGCACTTTATGTGCATTGCTTCTCTCCACCCAGAAGTATAAGTGGGTACCTGGTAGGGGTAAATGCCAAAATGCGCTGATGTAGCTGCTGTAATGTTATGGAATTTGAGTTTGTGTTCCATAGGTGTTTAATCCAATAATCAGGTAATGATAATATGAAGCGCATATAGGGCTAAACAATATGCACTATATAAGTCTACCATTATTTTTTTTTTTTTTAAAGAGTTACGGAAGTTGATAAATTTTTTTTTTGTAGGATTGAGCTCAAGTCTTGTTAATAAGCCACAGCTAAACCATGTTTAATGTGATTCATTTTATTTATTTTTTTTTTCTGCTTTCATTTGAAGTGTATTCCTTGGAAACATCAAAGAAGCCTTCGATAAGAATCCCACCCTACAGAATCTGCTCCTTGATGACTTCTTCAAGAAAGCGATCATAAAATCCCAGGCCTCATGGCGTAAGGTCGTGTCTACAGCCGTGCTCTTGGGCATCCCAACACCAGCCTTCAGCACCGCTCTGGCTTTCTACGATGGCTATAGATCAGCTAAGCTTCCAGCTAACCTTATTCAGGTATGTGTATGCAGCCGAGTATCACTGTTGTGTAGTGTACTTATTAAGCATTATCCCCACTACCAAATTTTCTTTGACAAAAATTTGTTGTATGCCCATATATAGTCATGATGTGACTATATATGGTCATGATGTGACTATATATGGTCATGATGTGACTATATATGGTCATGATGTGACTATATATGGTCATCATGTTATCCCTGTTGGGTAGTACTTAATAAGCTTTGTCAGCAATACCAAAAATCTTTTGTATGCCATGCATAGTCATGATGTGACTATATATGGTCATCATGTGACTATATATGATCATCATGTGGCTATATATAGTCATGATGTGACTATATATGGTCATGATGTGACTATATATAGTCATGATGTGACTATATATAGTCATGATGTGACTATATATGGTCATGATGTGACTATATATGGTCATCATGTTATCCCTGTTGGGTAGTACTTAATAAGCTTTGTCAACAATACCAAAAATCTATTGTATGCCCATGCATAGTCATGATGTGACTATATTTGGTCATGATGTGACTATATATGGTCATGATGAGACTATGTATAATGTCATGATGGCTATATTTTTAAAGCATGTTGCATGTTTTTTGTCAAATGAAATTTTTTATCTTTAAAATGTCAATAAAATACAGAAGAAGGAAAATTATAAAAATGACTAAACATCAACAAGACAAAGACAAAAGTCAGATAGCATTATTATATCAAAAATTAATAATACTAATTATAATAATAATAATAACAATAATAATAATAATAATAATAATATCATTATTAATAATATAATATTAATAATAATTATAATAATAATAATATAATTTCATATATCTATAATACAGAATCAAAAATGTAAGATTTTAATTGAGATTTAAAAATCTTAAAAGTAGGGCATTCCCTTAGCAAAATTGGTAAACTATTGTAAAACTTAGGAGCAAAATAACGAAAGACACTTGGATTTGGATTTATCAAATTTTAATAATTATTAAGCACTGTAAATGATTGACTATTGATTAATATTTGATCATTTTTTGAATGATTGATTGATTAATTTGCTTTCTTTCTAGGCCCAGCGTGACTACTTCGGTGCACATACCTACGAACTGTTGTCCGATCCTGGAAAGTTTGTCCACACAAACTGGACAGGGCATGGTGGCAATGTCTCATCAAGTACCTACAATGCATAAATTTGTTTTACAAAAGGTGAATGGTCAGCAGCAGTAAAGTTTCTTAACATCGTAATAAGCATCAAATCTAAAATGTGAAATTGAAAACCACCTTTAGTAAATATTTAGTAATTTTTTTACAATATATATATGTATATCAATTTGGTGGGGGAAATATTAGCCTTAGTATCAGATTTGAAAATTTTGGAGAACAAAGTCTAAAATTATATTGTTTTACAAATTAATACTTTTTTATTTATAACATTTATTAGAAATATACATTGAAATTTAATAGAAATTTGGTTTATAAATATTATTGAAATTTTTATAAATGTACTTTGAAATCATGATACTTAATGCTGTATTCCAAATACCTTTGATTCCAGTTAAAAATAAAATACATTGAGAATGAATTTTTTTGGAAATTCTTTCAGGTATAGATAAAGATCTTGCCCTCCTATTTTTGTATGATTCTCATAAAAGAACAGTAATAACAAAAACAAAGTCAGAATATCCAGTGTTATATTTTCTGCCAACGTAGCATTCCTCAGTCATGAAAATATTAGAATATAATTTTAAGGTATATGATATTAAGAGTATATTTTGTTAGTTTTTAATATAACATGTCCTCGAACTCCTGTTTTTGTTCCTAATTAAAGATAGGTGTGTTTTAGAATAATTCTAAACTTTTGGTAGTCAAATGCCGTCAGAGTAGGTATATATGTGATATATTAATTGCCAAAAATTCCAGAAACTGAGACGCAAGTTTACATTTTGGAGAAAATAGTAACTATGTTGTCATGACAAACATTTTGAAGTCTAATATTTTGACTATTATAATTACATTGTATATCTGTCTATCTACTGACAAAGTTAACAACATATGAAAACTGTAAGTTCCAAAACTTTTTATTATTTTGCTACTTTGTTCGGTGGGAACATGTCATACTGTCTTTAAATTCCTAGAACATTCCTAAAATAAATATGATAAAAGATTAAATTTGTTGTACTTCTGATTCTTATACTGTATAATAATATTAATATAAAAATTTACCTTGTAACATCAATCTAAACAAGTCATTTTTTTGAGACACAGCAAGACGAAACAAACATTATCAAGAAGTACATCAACCTATGTTACTTTTTAACATATTATGTAACACAAGGGTTAGCTTAAGTTAAAGTGTTACATAACTTGTGTGAGCGAACATAAAAAGCACACGGAACCAGGGAGTTGTTATAGTGACTATAACAACTCCCTGACGGAACCGACACTATAAAGTATTTTTTTATGCGCGAAGGATATCTTGAAAACCAACCAAATGTGTAAGTACTGCTTATAATATATAGGTTGTATGTTAATAGCCCAAGGCCTAATGTTCTGCAATTATTGCGCGGAAATCGGCCATTTTACCCAAAATGCTCGAACGGAATTCGAGGCCTATAATACTTTTTGTGCAGGGGATATATTCCCACGCAAGTCTTTACAGTCTGTGCCAGGAACACAAACAGCCCTACTTCATTTATTGTATATTCATTTGGAAATTTGCCACTATATTGCCACTATTTGCTAGTAGACAGAGTATGTCAGGTTGCACAGCCCACTATATCTATAGTCTATAGCCCTTTTTCTTAAATAGGTGGCCGTTGGGCCAAATTTGGTGCAATTTAGTCTTGCCCATGGAAAAAATATACAATGAAAAACATTTAAAACAATCTAAAAGTAATAATTGGTTAATATTTTTAAAAAAAAGCAAAAAAAAAACTGGGCTATGTGGGATAATAGCTTTTACTGAAAAGCAACTCGGGGTATTTGAAAGTGTTGATTGCTGAATTGTCCTGTTCAGGCAAAGTGTTTTAGTCTTTAAGGGATATGGAACAATGTCTTCAATAAAAATATCCCATGTCACTTTTGTAGAGGGTCAGAGTCTGTCAGACTAACATTTGAATATAATTTTCTTTTTTTCTCCACTTTTAAAACTTTGAAAAATTTAGAGAGGTTGGGCCGGCTGGGGTCCTTTGAATCTGCCACTGAAATACTCATAAAAAGTTTTTCAATTTATCCTGTTAATCATAATCATGCTCGCTTATATATTTCGTGCAAAATAACATTCATAAAAATAATAATTTATTATCTACTGATTAGCGTGTGACGTATTCGAACCATGAAAAACAAATATTAAAACAGTCATTCTAATTTAGTCTCTTTGCATGTACATTATTTTGAAAATCAATCAAAAGGTTTTTCCTTTACTCTTTAAATTTCACTTTTGTTGCAAGTAGTGTTGCGTAATACTGCACTATTGTGAGTGGAAGTACTACCGTGTAATTTACGATTAAACAGGACAAGGGAGATAGGAAGAGCACAAATCATTAGCATTATTAGCAAAGGTGATTTACTTTATCATGACGTCATGGCAAGATTGCGTCAACGTAACGTCGAGTTCGAGACCTATCCGTGTCAAAGGCTGTATAATTATTGTTAAACAACGGCTATATGAAATTCAATTGACTAACTATATATTTTTTTTAATTAGGAAAAACAGGAATCTATGTAGCAGATTGAACACTTATTCGGGTCTTAATATTATACAAAAGGAATAAATCGTTTATAGTATAAATTGTGCACTAAGTTGAGTGTGTAAAGTGTAATTTCGTTTTGTAATTCCGTTTGGGCCAGTAGTGCTTACAAAAAAAGATATAGATATATTAATGGAAATTTATAAAAGAGCCTCTACTTTAATCATGAAGAATCAATTTTGTCACTTGTAAAAAGAATAATGTCCTCCGAAAACCACTCTCCGTCTCATGAAAATAAAATACTTACTTTCAAATGTACAACTCAGATCATTGATCACTAGAACCACCAGATACAACAATTTTGCGATATATAACATGTATTGCACCAGATAATCATTCTGTTTTTCAGTATAGAATTAGAGAAGGGTGGTAACCATATATTCCCCAGTCCAGTTTGGGTTATCAATATGCGGGTGGTAGTACCTCATAGCCCCCAGTCCAATCTGGGTTATCAAAATGCGGGTGGCAGTACTTATAACCCCCAGACGCAGCCTGGGTTGCCAACAGTTGGTATATACTAATTAATTATTTATTGTAACACTTGTTTTGTTTTATGTTCTGTGTTAATATGTGTCTAGTGTGTACCAATGACAAAATTTATTTATTTTTATGAAGACAAACTTTGAATTGAATTGAACTGAAAAATGTCCGGGCATAATAGGTTTACACGCTTCTAATTTTAACAACGTACAGTACATTGTTTCCACAATAAATCTAGCCTCTGATAACCGTCGCAGCCATAAAATCGATGAAATGGTTAAGAATGTACAAAAATTACGTTTTTACTCGGTTTTAGTGCGGAAATACGCACCGCACTTGGAACGGAGCACAAGTGAACAGACAAAATTCATGACAGTCATTCGTAATTGGTGTTCTTTCCACTCGCTTTAAAATGTGGGGTTTTAACTATAGAAGGTTGGTGAAAAGTGAGGTGGGGGGAGACAATTGATATGATGTCCCCCTACTTTGATAAGTGGGAAAACGTATCCTCCTGTCCCCACACCGACTTCATGAAAACACTCGTATCTTGAAAATGCGTAGATCTTTACATTACATACACATAGACATACATAGCACTACATAGATCTACACGTGCTTCTACACAGAATTACCTCACAAAACATTGTTGAAATGAATAATCAAACGTCTACACAAATGTACAGTGATCCATGCAGATCTAGGCCTATCTACACCTAGATCTAGCCGATCTACACCTATTTTCAGCAGGAAACAGTGAAATTACAATATAATTTAATTTCACTGTTTTTCAGTGCTTTTATGCTTATTGCGATTTTTTTTCCAAGTACTGTAATCGCATTTTGTAATGGAAAGCAATACAGCTGTAGAGTGGTCAAGCGACTGATTGCCGCAGAGGAGTCTTGATCCCGTCATGTTTTGTATATCAGAGTTTTTGTTTAGTAGTTGAATAAGCATACCCTACCAGTCATGTTAAACCAGTCTGAATTATGCTTCTGACGTCACAATACCGTTTTTACGTAATACAGTATCTAATCAAATAATAATCATTGATACATGGTCAGGTGATTCAATCAGTGGACTTTAGAACATATTTTTAAAGTAAACTCAGCTGAGATAACTTCTGCAATGCAATGGGCGATTTCAAGTCTTAGGCCTACTAGTATATTTAGAGGTCATCAAATTACTGTATCTGATATGATAAATTGTACAGTAGTAAAATATTTGGTAGGCAGACTACAGTATACTGGTCCGCGCTGCAATATAAAAGAAGGACGTTCTGTGCAATTCTATAATATGTTAAAATGGAACCGAGTGACGGTAGCGAGGCTTGGAAAAAGCCACTCGTAGATGAAAAACAGAGACTCTATGGTGCTACAGATTTTGATGGAGGAAACAAGCCGAGTCCCTCTTACTCTGAAGCAAATGGAATTGATGTAAATGTAAGGAGAGAAGATCGTGTCGTCCTTTGTGGAAATTGTATCGCATGTTGCCTGTGCTGCTTGCAATGTTTCATGTGTTGTTATAACTGCTTTGAGATTTGTAGCAAATAGTCACGTTGATATACAATAGATTGCAAGTTCGAGTTCTAAACTTCACCTGGACTAAGTTAAGACAATGTTGGAAGTCTTCTCTGAAGGCTGCGGTAGAGGGACAAAATAAGTCAGCCTACTGTGCATAACACGAGACTGCCGCAGTGGAGGTACATTTATTCTGTTTGATCAATTGGCACCGATCATGCAACAATATAGATTACGACGACTCGACGGCGTATTTTCAGCGAGGTTTGATATAGACTTCTATTGTATTAATATTGGCAGTAGATTAACTGTGAATCTGGAGTGTGGATCTCAAGTTTAGTTAATTAATGTTTCCTGGCCTGTATCCAGGGAGGTGGAATTGTGCGATGTGTGCACACCCGCCTCCCCCCCCCCCACTCCTCATGGGTACGACCATGTGATAGGAGAAGTAAAATATTGATGGTTTTTGCCACAACTGAAAATATCAATTTATGAAATTCATTATGGTATGCAGTACAATGTATCTAACAACTACCAAGTACTCTAAGCCTAACTGAGAATTTAATGGGTTTTTTTTTTTTTTTTTTTTTTTACTGATTGCATTTCTCGATGAACAATACATAACATATCACAATAAAAGTAACCCACATTTTTCAAATATAACATTTATTGTACTTTGTGCGGTCATACTTATGGTTACTGTTGAAACTACCAATCCTTATCACAAATTGACCCAATCCATGACATTTTTATTTCAAAATGCGCTTTTAGAAACCAAATATTTTTAGATTTAGGAAGGACGTTCTCTTCGTCCAGCAGTCAATCATGAATATTTATTTGCTGGTCTATCTTGATCACGTTGTTTGCTTAAAAGAAAAGTAAAACTTTGGGGTTTTTTTTCAATCAAACGATGTAAAAGTTATTATGTTGATTTACCAGCATATAATAATGAATATAAAATGTAGGCCTAAACAAAAATGCATCTTTGTATTATTCGTATTTTCTGTGTATTAAAATTTTAGGCATAAGGCCAATTATATACCTAACAATAACCATATTAAATCACATTAATATAGTGACAATCCCTTCACTTGCTACATTAAGAGTCTCATTAAGTCAAAAATTACTTTTGATATTATTGGTGACGGGCTTTGAACCCTCGACCCTGGGATTCGAAGGAAGCATCTTAACCACCGATATAACTCAAGCATCTTGATTTTGTAAACACTTAGTCCATATTTTGTAAACAGTGGCGGATTCAAGGGGGGCTCAGTCGTCCCTCTCACCCCTATTTTTTTTCGAAATTGTAAAAAATTGGAGAAAAATGAAAATTATACATTCAAATTTTAAGTCTGTGCCATTTCCGGCCATCTGAAGGTGACATAATCGTAAATTTTCATGCCTCAGCCACAACCATGGTGGGGCTGAGTTGATGTTGACCCTTCATCTGTCGAAGTCCCTCCCTGGCCTCCCTCTACTTCAAATTCCTGGATCCGCCACTTGTAACCATGCACATAACTTTACCTTCCTATAAAACTATTTCACCAACAGATAAATTTAGCGTATAGGAATTTAGGCCTACAAGATACAAGATTTTTTTATTGTCGCTTACATAAAATACAAGTAAAATTCGTCCCCTGTCAAATATTTTGCTATGACACACTGCGTGCACTCTTTTTTAAGTTCTATAAATTTGCAAGTTACTAACCTCAACTAGTTCACATTTGTAAAAATAGGTTCCCAGCGGGAGCATGTGTCTATGACCAATATACAGTACTGCCTTATATGTTTACAAACACGTGGAATTCGGTTATCAGGAAATATGTGGCGTTGTATTTTTTATTACTTTGGTACAGTAATAAGGTACTTAATGACACATGGCCCATCATGCACCTCACCGGATTTACCCTTTCAGCCATCTTTAACTGCCAGACGATAACGTAGTGTATTTGCCCCCGAGGGGGCATGACACAAAATCAGACTGCGTGTTTGCAACGGATTGCAATTCCGAAGTATAGAATTTTCCTAACACTCGTGTATTCGTTTGCTTAATAAACATTTGGTGGCTGGAATCAGGGAGTTGTTATAGGAATATACAGTTCTTACAAATTGATCTTGTGTGTATTTAATTATCAATTGTTAAAGTACTTTTTTTTTAACTTCATAAAATGACAACTAATTTTGTCCTGAATTACTGCGTGCCTAAGCACAAAACACTGTGAATCTAAAACTACATATCATTAACTTTCGAGAACGACACAGACAAATCGTTTGTAGTTACATCATGTGAGGTGTCTGACGTAACCTCGTAGGCCTGTGATCTGCCAGGCCACTGACACCTCGGAAAGCGGGAGTAACACGATCTCCAGACACTTCTCCACTTCTCCTTGCTCTCCTTCCGTCGCAGAACGAACAGGAGAAATATCGCCAACCCCTGAAGAGGATTTAGAACACAGAAGAGTATAGACATCACAATTCGATCACCTCCGAACGAGAGGAATCCGAAGATCCAAGTTAAGCCGAGTAGTGTTGATATAGCAATGGCATTTGTCAGTCGGGTTTTGATTCCTGATGACGTATCCTGAGTCTTGGCCCCACTCATTTTCGAAAGGGTAAAATATAATCGGTAAATGATGAGTATAAAAAAGACGGTATTACAGAAAACAACTATGCTGGCTGGCAAAATCACACCGTATGTAATAACTTCCGTTTTTGAAATGTAGCAGCTGAAAATGTACAGAGAATAAGTGGTAATTTATAAATGTAAGTTTTAGTCTGTGGGGCGGAAGACGTCCTTCACTGTGTTGCGTCTTTGTAAATTTAGATTTAAAAACTAAAATAAAGAGGTCTAATCATACGTACAAATATTCGTTGGAATAGTAGTCTGGATTGATTGAAACTAGCACAATAACAGGTATCAATGGTAAACCTAGAAACGAGAAAACACGAAACATTAATATGAATGAAGGTGTGGTAAAATCACATCTTCAAATTTTATTGAAAATGGTTACTTTTGTGACCACGTTAAGACCAACTCAGACAGCGTCGGCCGACGCAGCCCGACGCGATTTGTTGTCGCGTCGGGCCTGTGTGAGTTCAACGCAAACGCGATGGTGTGCGTCGGGGGCAGGCGTGTCGTAGAATATTAAACATGTTTAATATTTCTCACGACGGCTCAAGACTGTCCCCGACGATAAATCGGTTCGGGCTGCGTCGGCCGACGCTGTCTGAGTTGGCCTTTAGCCTACGCCGCCGCAAATGTCTTACTATTGGTACTGCCACTTGCTGCTACTACAAATAACGACGACGATGGTGGCATATTGTGAATGCTGGTGGTGGTGACTAGTAATGATATGACGACGATGATTACAGACGGAAGCATTGAAGTTCAAGATTATGCTGACGACGATTTTATTGGTGACGTGACGATGATAAGAAGCTGACAATAATTATGAATGGCATGGACGAATTTATATATATATATAATGTCGCATGAGGCGAGTGCAAGACGAAACAAAGAAAGCAAACACCGGATTCAAAACATGTAATGGGGCAGCCACCCATTGAATGTCGTTATGT